TTGTTAGCTATCAATGTCTGACCCTGCATCAAACTCTTGGTGAACGGCCGGGAAGTCGCTTTTAGTTTTCGTCACTCCCCACACATTTAAAATGGTTTATCTTCCCCCTGTAATTAATTTTCGCTTTCGAATGCTGCCCCTGGAAATTTCTACCCAATATAAGACCTACATAAAAGTCTTTCATCATAGAGATCTCGAGGTGTAATTACGGCTGCTCGTGTATCAATAAATCTAGTCAGGATTACCTAACGGAAGTTGACTGTAAATTTGACTATGTTCACTGGTCCTCTGGTTCGAAAGTGCAGACCTTGAAGCAACTTCTTGTCGAAATATTTATGAGTATTCACTGAATCTATCCGGGTTTTAACATGCCTAGACTTTGTAATTGCAGATAGATAGCTGGATCATTTCCTATTCTTTTTGAAACACTTAAAATAGTGGCCTGTCTTATCATGTGTGTGATATAGCCTCCAGATCTGTTTTTACATCTTTTGATGTCTTGAAAAAAAATACTTTATCGTTCTCAAATCTACAACTGCCGTTGTCGATGATTCAAATCTTTCTCATCCCAATTATTGTAGTTTATTTTTATTTTCTTTTACTAATGTGGCATTACCTCCACTTCGGCTCACGACCGCTAGATAGCTTTACCAAAGCAGTATATCCGAAAAAGACCTCAAAGTATTTTTCTTTCAGGATTCTTTAAAGATAGGACGTGTCTTGTTCTCCATCTGAGGAACTTTTCAGTCCCCAGCGAACATTATATCACATCCAACACAATACAATATAGCAGACAGAATACAATGATCTAAGATTACACGACTACACACAGGCATATCTATTAATTCTACAAGCCTGACATATAAAGAATTTTTCTCACATCCAAGTCCCTCACAATCTTTCTTAGGATCTTTGCATACACGTAGGTATGAAAAGAGACATCTCTATGTACATATCTTCATTCACCCTTTATTTTATTTTATTTTTATTTAGTTTGCTCAGGCAATAAAATATATTGCATATTGATTCTTACTCTCTGGACCGAGAAATCGTCCAGCTACCATATCAACATATATTACTCGACGCTACAATATCTCTTAAGGGTACATTTATTTGTGAACATGCAATCGATAGAAATATATACAAGGACGATCCTTTGGTCCTTTTCTCGGCTTCAAGCCTTATTCAGTGAGACACGACGTGTAAGTTTCTCATTTTGCAAAAGTCGTTGCCGAATTATTGGTAGTTCTAGTCCAGTACCAAAGGCAATTCTAACCTTTAATTATTTGCGCTTCTTCGTTATAAGCTGCTGAAAATGCAATAAAGAATTTGAACATACTGATCTAATATTTATCCAGATTGTTGCCTCCACTTAGTCAGGGCAATTTAACTTTCATCATTCTAAAAGTAAGCTTGCCATCAGTGATGAGAGAAAGGATATTTCATCATCCTACCCTCATCATTATAAAAACGACCTTTCAACCACAAAGTGTCAGTAGAGTAGACTAGGGTACCCGTAGCAGTAATTAGTAGACAAGTCGCAGTAGCAATAGCAGTACAGAAACACACGTCTAGCCAGCGTTTTGAAATTGTCTGTTTTCGAACTTCACAAAGTTCGAAAACAGACAATTTCAAAACGCCAACCTTACAAACGAAATTCTCGGAACAAAAGTAAGTATGCACTGATTTTTAAACAAAAGATACACTGAGAATATTTTTACCTACACCATACTAATATTCTGTAATTCACATCACAAAAAGAAAATACAATTTTTTTTATTATTTATGTCAACACATGCCTCAAGTTATTGTTGTTGATTTTATTGTACGTTTTAATTAATATCATTTTTCAATATAAAAGGATTCCTCCTACACTACAAATACATACAGCAACGGGGTTATTACTTTAACTACCTCAACGACCACAAAACCCCACCCTGTTACACTGAACAAATAATATCACGTCAGGATTAATACTATACCAACACCAACTTAACAACCCTGTTACAAACTCTTATAGGTTTTATACCACCGTATATGTCGTTATATAACTGATTATCTCATATACTTCTGGTGATAGAAAGTTCTCCAGCAATTCTAGTATGGCTGCTTCATTTATTTCTTTTACCATCCACCTTAAATAATTTTCAATGTTCTTTTTTTTACACTGTCGACAAACTGTCTCTGATATTAGTTTCTTCTGTTCAACATCAAATACTCTAGGTTTTCTCCATTATACAAAAGCAATGATAAGGCACAAATAAACATAACAAAACAAAGTAAATCTAGTTTACATAACCATTGTTAGTTCACAAATTATAGGATTTAGTTAAAAGCATTCATGCTCAACTAGATTATACCAACAATGATAGTGAAAACGCCAAGCGTCCATAATTGTTTATAGAAAAGAAAACCTCCTTGCCCCCTCCTCTTAGCAGCTTCTTAAAGCTGGATAGGAAACAGAGGTAAGTTCAAGTAAGTAATACACATACACTGGTCTTGTCTATGCTCCCTAGCTATCACAGCTACACTGCCACTTTCCCTATTACTTCAAACATATGTCACCAGGATGAGACAATTTCTACAATTGAAAGGGGACCAAACCATATAGTTCATGTTTCATGCTGGCTCTAATATTTTGAGATTACAAGTTTACAAGTAATTGAGTAAACCAAGGAAAACAGCTATTTGTATTAGATGTGTACAAAAGTTCCCAGAACTGTTTTTTGAAAATTATAGACAAAATAATTAAAACATTTCTTTGGAAAACTATAAACTAATTAGAAAACTAATAAGAAAGAGCAACAAGTGACCTTCTTGAGATTCTGCAGGATAAATAACATCTAGTTCTAGACTTAAAGAGGTCAAGATTTAATTACTGAATAAAATTTCAGAGTTCAGGCAGAAATGTTAGAAGTATAAATTTGAAATAGACTTTAGAAAGAGCCAGAAACCCAATCCTAAACTCCTGTTCAAAAAGACAAAATATCTGTTTGAATTTCTGGGATGAGGAGTTATTATTATTGTCCTCACCTTTGTTGCTGTTATCATGATGTTTCGACCATTGTACCCTCCACCCTTCCTCAGATGTATATATCAACCTAGATAACCTACAGGAAACTGAACCCTTTATTTAATCTCTGGGTGTAGACTATACCTATTTGACTTTTCATGACTAGGGATATTGTCAAGTCCCTATTTTTATCTAGTATTGATGACTTATTCATCACTCATTTCCATTGAGTGCAAGTACAAACTGACAAACGCAGAGATTGAACTCACAACCACTATGTCACTAAATTCACAAACCAATACTTTTATACACTAGGCCATTGTCTCATAGGACAATGACTTAGCAGATAAATCTAGTTAACATGGGGATAGCACTAGTTAATTTGGAGATTAAATAAAGGATTCAGTTCAGAATTCCCATTAGGTTACTCTGCTGGATATAAACCTGAGGAAGGCAAGAGGGCACAAAGACTGAAACATTGTGATAACAACTACAAAGATGAGGACAATAGTTGAAATATAAATAGTGTAAATAGTTAATAGTTTTTCTGGAAACTTGCACAGAGGTAATAATTTAATTCCAGTTCTTTCTGTTTTATTGGCACTTCGGCCAAACAATAATTAATCTATATGTAATTCTAGATTGCATCTCATTAATTATGAAACTCAACTCTATAGATAAAGAATGTCATATTAAGTATTGCAAAGTTTCATCATCATATGAAATCAAAAGGTAGATAGAATTTTCTGATTTCCTTAAGAACTGCTAAGAAAAAATTTAAAAAATATAAGAAAAATGTTCTACCTTTGCAATATATGAAAAGTTATTTTAAATGATGTACAGGATGATTGAAAGGTAACTTCACATTTTAAAATACTTATAATTTATTTATTAACTATGAGTTTTATAAGAAATGGATATGAGAGTAAAGCTTTTAGCCTGGGGTTTTATTTAAAATTCAATATGAGCACCAGATTTCAATACCAGATTCTCAACTCACCCCAGGAAACATATAAACTGGTTTCACCAGGAACTCTTATGATATAGAAGACATAACTTCTTGTGCTCCCCCTTCAAGTTCTTCCAAAGTCTTGGTTTAGTATAGTAGAGTTGCTCCTTTAACCAACGCCAAAGAAAAAAGTCACAGGGTGTTAAGTAAAGACTCCTGAATGGATACTCATACATAATATAAGGAGTCACTTTTCATTCACCCTGTTGATGTTGTTTTAATTATGTTTACTGGGATTAAAGTTCAAGCCACAATGATGTATTGCAAATTGAAGCAGGAAGTACCTCTACAGATAAATGAAAAACTCCAATACAAACATTTCAGAGTGTCTGGACGTCAATCTGAGGACAGTGCTGAGGATTCAGCAAGAGTTAAATTACTTTAAATCTATGGCAGCTCAGAAAACTTTGTCTAATTGTTCTGATAAGACAAAACTCCTGAATTTGTTGGTGAGAGCTTCAGGCTCAATACAGAGGCCTACATCAAGTGCCTTGAGGACGTAGTGCTTCCCTGGGTCAAGTGGGTGGCTAATGGAAGACCCTATATCTAGCAACAGGACTCTGCATCATGCCACACCAGCAGGAGAACCCAGTCATGGCTATCAGATAATTCCTCTGACCATGTCTCCCCTTACATCTGGACACCTAACTCCCCAGATTGCAACCCCCACAATTATTATGTGTGGAGCACAGTTGAGTGAGAGACCAACAAAACTTCTTGTAACATTAAAGATGAACTGAAGGCAAGGATTATGGCAACATTCACCAATTTAAACAAGGAGACCATCCAGAAGAGTTGCTGGAGATTCTGACGTCATCTGGTGGCTGTGGCTGAAGCCAATAGTAATTTTATTGAATAAATTTACTCTTTAGTATTTCAAAATATTTTTGCATAATTTTGGTAAATATATCTGTTAAAATGAGATATTAGTGTTATTTTAATTTTTGCATAATTTAGATGACAATTTATCCATCGCACCCTGTATAGATAGATAGATAGATAGATAGATAGATAGATAGATAGATAGATAGATAGATATAACTGTGTATTTTTGTAGTTCCAAAGATTACAGATATGCATTATGTTGTGCAAAGGAAAACATTTTAAGAAATGCAGCAAGATTGTCATGATGATAATCAGTGCAATAAGATCAACAAGTACGTATTGTTCTTTTTGAACTGCTGGCCTGAACAGGCAGAGATGATGTAAATGCCAATGATGCCCCCAACTCAGAATCTACATTATTCATTGATTTAAAAAATGCCAAATAATCTACGCATTTACCATTTAACATCCCTGTCGGATCTGACAAGTTGCTCATTATCTGACTAGCTTTTCTTTTCCAATTTTTTTTTTTTATAACCAATTAACACAAACTTTTCACCGATAAATCATGTGATATTCTGACTGACGTAAAACAACATAACATTTCTATGATATGTACTGATATTTTTCAAAGAAAAGAAAAATTAATTTAGTAGAATGCCTGCAGCATGATTGTACTGTTCTCTCCTATTAGAATAAATGCCAGAATACTCTCAACATAAAGAAATACATTTGCAAAATTAAAAAAAAATGTCTATATATATATATATATATATATATCAAGTAAACGGAAAACTAAAATTATAACAAATAGCACAAATCCAAAAAGTCCATACAAAATGCATGTTTTTGTTGGTTTAATGATTTATATTTCTAGGTTTGGAGTCCTGAAAAATTGAAAGAGAATGTAAATGCAATTATCTGAGTACTGCTCCGACGAACTACTTTCACTGGTTCCCAAAATTTAAGCATGTTACTAGGTTGGCATCTAGGTCTCACTCTTTCACTGTCGAAATGGTTAAATGTAGCCATCTATTCTACTCCAGCAGCTTCTTGTCTTACACCTCCCGTCAGTGGAACTCCTTTCCTATCACTTGCTTCCCTGATAGCTATAATCTTCAAATATTCAAATGTAATGTCAATCGACATCTTCTTGACCTTGATCCCTGTCCTTCACTTTATCCCTTTTCCAAACATTCCTCTTTACTCTTAATCTCACTCTCTGTAACCATTTGCATGCTAGTGGCACTCCCACCTTGCTTGGGGTGATTTGCTTAAAAAAAAATTCAGGTAAGATATAATAAGGATAATCAAGAACTTATACAGAGGCCAAACCACCTGCATAGAGATCAAAAATTAATTCAGTAAACATACAAAAAAGAAGAAAAGAGTATAAGACAAGGACATGTTTTCTCACTGGACTTATTTAACTTTTAAAGGGAGGTAATCCTGAGAGAAAGTCCTTGCAAGATTCATTATTGGTGGCCATAATCTTAACAATATAAGATATGCTGATTATACAGTGTTGATAGCGGATAGAAAAACGGAAAATACAGGAACTCCTACAGCATGTAATAAAGAAAAGTGAGAAGAAAATACTAAATATCAATTCTGAAAAGGTAGAATATATGCTTCTCAGTAAGAAAGACAGACTATGATGTGAATTGTGCATTGGAGATATCAGAATCAAGCCAGTCTGAAAATTTAAATATCTAGTTAATGTTTTAATGTAGAACAAAAAAATTGGACATAGAAATCCACACAGGAATATTTAAAGATGCTTTTCAAAATATTATGAAAGAGGAAAATTTTGTTAACAACAAAGAAAAGACTGCTCAGCTGTTACATAATATCAAACCTTCAATATGGCCGTCAATGCTGGACAGTCTCATCCCAGGTGAAGAGACAACTCGAGACAATAGAAATGTGCTTTTACAGAAGGATATTAGGAAAACCATGAACTGAACATTTCAGCAGTAAGGAAGTTTTACAAAGAAAGAAAGGAAAAGGTTGCTTATACTTCGAATCAGAAACAGAAAATAAAAATTTTAGGACATATAGTGAGGAAAGAGAATTTGACACTTACAGGACAAGTGGGACAGATGAAAGTAGTAAATCAACTAACAAGCTTGTGTAAATAGTTGGAAGAACAGGGATCAGGGGAGATAGCTAAAAAATGAAACTTAATAAGAGCTACAAAGGACAGGAAGTTGTGGAGAGCTATAATTATCCAAATCCTGAAAGGACACAGCACATAAAAGAAGAAGGATGCAAAAATTTTAGAAATGTATAAATGTGCCAGACAAAAACAGGATATATATATATATATATATATATATATATATATATATATATATATATATATATATTAAGTTACGAAGAACTTGGTAAACCGAATGGGTAATTCCAAGGAGGATGAAATCCTGAGAGCTCAATGTGAATACAGAGCTAATATTTAATGAAAAAACAGACCACTTTAAGGTACCATTACAATAACCCCTCTCTATACTCTATCTTGGCTCATTAACTACTACTATCACCCTCCCTGTTAAATTGCAAAAATTACACTACCCATCAATTTCTAATCCCATTTTTTCTTTCATTTCGTTGTTGGAAGTGTTACCTGATGATCCGGAGTCCTTCAAAAAGGATTTTGATGAAATAAATTATTGTAATGGTGCCTTAAAGTGGTCTGTTTTTTCATTAAATAATTATATATATATATATATATATATATATATATATATATATATATATATATATATATATATATACATATTTGTGACTGCCAATTGAGAAAATGACAGTCATGACTGGTCAGACCTTGACCAGAAAATGATAATATAAACGTACTTGTAAAAATAAAAATGAAGAGAAAAGATAAAAACTATGGCACCTTCCTTAATGAATTTAATATCAACATTAAGAAGTTAATAAGAGGATTTGAGAGGATCACAATAAAAATAAACAGACATAATATGTCCCGTTTATTTAAGCAAATATACTTGAATGAAGATATGCATATTATATATATATATATATATATATATATATATATAATTATAATATATCCCACAGAATGCAACAGAGCTATTAAGTATATATTAATAAATATATATATTATTCCTCACCAATAACACAACTTGGTGTTTCATGTACGACACAATCTTCAGATGTTGACTATAGACTGGCTGTTACATAATATAAATTTTTAAAAATATATATATGGTTATCGCAATGTTGGTGCAGTTATATATTATACTGGGATTACAGTTTTTTAATTTAAAAAAATTATATTTGGCATTTAAAACAAACAAGATTTCTAATATATAGGTATAAAAAAAGAAAATAAATTTTTATCTTATTTTAGTGTTAGGAATATTAATTTTTGTTAAAGTGAGATTACGTGTTCTTTTTTTTTATAAAAAAGAAACAAAGCAAACCATAATTTACCTTAAAAATAAACTAATTTATATTAAAAATTAATCTTGATCAATGTATTTAAGCATGTATTTTATGTTTACATGTAACCATCAATTCATTTCTCTTATTTGATAAGCTATGGGTATTTAAGACTTTTTTCAAGAAGACATAAGTTATATCTATTTCCTTTCACAATAAATGATTTGGCTCTTGCTATATTATTCCAGTTGATGAAAGGAAAACTGCCATCATTCTTTAATTTCCAGAAATATTTTGAGAGAGCGGTGCTGTTTTTGTATTTTATGTTAGCTAAATTCATTCATTCATGGTAGAAATGAAATTTCCAATGATTTTCAGTGGAAGCAAAATAAAATTTAACATCTTTACCTGAATGTATGTTCACACAGTATAGAAAATTATCAGATACATTGACCATTTAAGGGACAGATCATATTTTTTGGCAGCTGTGTTAATTTTTAGAAATGTTTAATTAGTTTTTGTTGGAAATATATTTGTTTAATATAATGTTGTTATGTTGGGATATGGAGTTGTCTATGTTATTATAATATGTATATTTATTAATATATGTATGTATGTATGTATGTATGTATGTATATTAATAAATATATATAAAGAAAGGAACATAATTCTTAATGGAAAAAAAAGCTGTCCTCATTCATAAAGGGGACCAATGGATTAAAAACACTGAAGACCTTGTCAGTCAATTTATTCTATATAATCCAACCACACACCATGAATTTGACATTTAGGACATTGAGATATACAGGGATGACGGGCTCATGGTAGTGAGTTGTTCCACAAATTTTAAAATAGATAAAATTAGAAAGATAATACATAGTGAATTCAGAAAACTAAATTTAAAAACTACAGTTAACACAAAATTGAAAAGGGCAAACTTCCTCGGCATAACTTTAGACTTAATAAACAACATATACCAACCTTACAGAAAACCTAACACTAAACCCTGGTATGTACACCCCAGATCAAACCATCCTCCATCCACAATTAAGCATATACCCTCATCACTAGAGAAAAGAATCAGCATGAACTCCACAAATAAAGAAATATTCCAAAAACACAGTAATTTTTACAACACAAAAAAATAAAAATACTGGATACAAAAAAATAAATAAAAAATAGTGGATACAAAAATGCTAACATCAATTATAAAAAACAATAGTACTAACCAGAAGGAAAACAGAAAAAAAAATTATTTGATATACCCACTCCCCATTCAACCAAATGGTTAATAACAAGCTAGGACAAAAATTTCTTGCTTTAATTGAAAAACACTTTCCTACTGATAGCAAACTTAGCAAGATCTTTAATAAAAACACCTTAAAATTAAGTTACAGCTGCACTGAAAATCTAGAAAGAATCATAAAAAAAAACATTATAATAAAATCCTGGAAAAGCATGCATACCAAAATCAAATTAATAAAAACCCTAAATTAAAATTAGACAAAAATAATGAAAAATTATGTGACTGTAGAAACCCTGAAGACTGCCAGTTGGAAAATAAATGTCACATAGAATCTGTGGTATACCAATGCACAATCTCATCCATTGAGTATTCAAACATCAAAATGATATATATAGGATACACAAAGAATGAATTTAAAATTACGCAGAGACAACACAAAAACTCCTTCAATAATATTAGAAATAGAAATCAGACATCCCTATCTAAACATTTTTGGCATTTAAAAGGAATGAATAAAACACCAAAAGTAAAATGGAAAATTATAAATAGAACAAGAACTTGTAAAACCTGTGATGACCCATGACCTTAATGCCTACATGAAAAACTA